TCCCTATTATCTAATAAAGCCATCCCCCTAGTATAAATATTAGATAACCTTAAAGTTATATAAGTTAACTTAAACCGGAATGCCTAGGCTATAGAAGTAGTACTCTAGGATACTCTCTACTTAGGCATCTACCTAATATTTATCTAGGAACTATAGATGACACTATAAGAAGATATAGCTAATATATAATTAATCTCTTACCCCTCTATAATATAAATTCTTCTAACCTTCCTATAGGGCTCCCATCCTTAGATGATGCTCTACCTAAATAAATCCCTTACCTAAGTCTAGGTAATTCCTTATCTAGATATTTTCTCTAGCCTAGACTACCTTACCGTTAATTTAACCTATAGAGAAGATACTATCTATATAGTTAATATCTATAATAAGGTAGAATAAGGTAACCTATCCTCCCTACATATAATAGAAAGAGTTATTAAGTATAGCCCCCCTACTATGCTAATAATCTATATAGGGGACTTTAATAAATACTATCTAATATAGGACCTACTCTCCCCCTAATCTTATAAAGTAGAAGCTCTAGATGAATAGATTAAGGAAAACCGCCTTAAACTCTAAAACTAGCCTAGAGTAGGTACCTTCTTTCATATAGGGATGGAAAGGGAAATAGTTATTAACCTATCCCTATATACTCTAATAATTACCGCTTAAGTAATTAACTAGTAGTTATAAGAGAACCCCTTATCTAACTATAACACTATTCTCTTTACTATTACGTATAATGAGTTTTAGGACATACTAATGCCTCTACTATAGTTTAATGTTAAAAAAGCTAACTAGGCCTAATATAGGTAAATCATCTAAGAAGAGTTAAATAAGATTATAATTCTACCTATTTAAGCCCTTCCTAATAGGGCATAATACATACTCTCTAGTAGGACCTTATAAGAGGACCTAGACTAACTTAGACGAAGCCTTATAAAGGTAATAGAGATAGTAGCTAAATATAGCATCCTATAGGTAATACCTAGATAGTGATAAAAACTATAGTAGTCCCTACTCCTTATAGCCCTAAGGATAACTACTATATAAGTAAGGCGTAGGGTATATTAGGACTAAGTTATATACGTATAAGTATAGAATACGTATAATACGGCCATTAAGTAGGTAAAATAAGAGTACTAGAATAACTTCCTCATAAAAGAAACACCCTAGTCTATCTATAAGGTAATAGTATATATGAAATTAACCTAATTTAAGCGGATCCCCTAGATATATAACCTTTAAGATTAACTCTAATCATTATATAACGGTAAGTATACTACCTTCCGTTAGAAACTCTTCCCCCTACTACTATATATCCCCCTACGCGAATAGATAAACTATAAGGAAGGGCTATAGAACTAGCCCTCCCTTATAGATAAGGAAGTATAGTATGCCTACTCTTATAAGATTAAAGGTACTACCCCTAGGCTAGACTAGATCTACTAAAGGATAATTACTAAGGCGTATAATACTTCTCCTAGAAAATTCACCTAGGTATACTAAACCTTCTTTACGTATGGATACTACCTAGAATACTAGAGAGAAGCGGTAGGAGTAATACTTAAGAAACTAGGGAAACCTAATTATATAGACCTAAAAGTGTATAGAGTTATCTTCCTACTTAACTACCTAGGAAAAGTTCTTAAACATATTATAGTAAAACGTCTTAGAGTACTTATAGAAGCTACCTACCTCCTATACCTATCCTAAATAGGCGGATGACTATAGAAGTTAGTAATTAATATAGTAATAATCCTTACATATATTATCTAGGATGAGAGGAGGGTATAGTATAAGATATTAACCCTAGTCCTTAACATATAAGGCGCCTTTAATCATGTAGCCTATAACTAGCTCTTATATATAATAGGGGAAATTAGGCTTCCTACTTCCCTCCTAGTATAGGTAAAGATATTTACTAGTAGTTAATAACTCTAGATCTCCTTTAATAGCTAATAAGAAGACCTTTATCTAATAGTTTTAGGAATCCCTTAAGGAAGCCTAGTCTCCCTAATCCTATTTCTTATCTATATATAAAAGCTCTTTTCCTCTTACTTAGTAAGATTCCTCTTATATATTAATGATGTTTTAATTATAATCTCCTTAATAAGTTAGAAGAAAAATGCGTAGATCCTCTAGTAGGAAGTAACCTAGCTCTTCTTACTTAGAACCTAGTATACCGTTAACTTTAATAAAGATAAAATAGACCTTATCCATTTTATAAGCTTAGATAAGGCTAAGGCAGCCATAATTACGCTCCTAGAAGATTATATAGTAAAACTAAAGTAACTCATCTAATAGCTTAGGATATAGTTTAATATACGCCTATTATTCTAGTAGTATATGATAATTTAAAATGCCTAAGTAAAGTAATTACTAGGATGACTTATAAGGCTAGCTAATATATAATATAGACTATCCCCTACTACCGTTTAATAGCTATACCTTACTTATATATAAAGTATAGTAGATTATGGGTCTCTAGTTTTCTAGTAAGTTAGTAGCTCTAAGATACTTAGACGAATACTTTAAAATAGCGGACTATACTAAATCCTAGGAGCCTTTTACACCTCCCTAATTATTCCTATAGAAATTAAAGTAGGCCTTCTCCCCCCCTACCTTAGGAGGAACATGTTACTTTAAGTATACACTATAAGACTCTTTAAACTTAGTTACTAATACCTAGTACGTATAATTATTAATAAGTTTAAACTAGAGAGTATACTAGGACGCTAGATATAACTTAAATATATCTAGAATATAATTTTAGACCTAGTAATAGATACTAAAAGCCTAATTAAGCATGGTTCCTTTCCCCTATAGAAAAAGACTATACCGTATAAAGTTAAGATTAGCTACCTCTAAAAGGAATAAGAAGCCTAAGTATACGTTAGATGTATAGGATATATAACTTAAGTAGTTATCCTATATTCTAATACTTCATCTATCCTAAAAGGAAATAGAGTAGGTATAGGGATTACAGCGTATAATACCTAATAAGAGAGTATAAGAGTAGTAGTAAGATATAGAGTAAATACTAGACTATACTAGCTTATATACGATAGAGAACTAGAGGCACTTATAAGGGCTATAGAGCTAGCTACCTAGAAATAGCTAGGATAATAGATTATAGTATATATAGATAACTAAGCTATACTATACTACCTCTAAACCCCATCTAACCTACTAGGTTAAGGTCTATAACTTTAAGCTATAGATATAGGCTACTTAATTATAGCTAGATAAGGTAGTCTTACCTTCTTATAGGCCCTAGGCTATATAGGGATTAGAGGAAACCTATAAGTAGACGCCCTTATAAAGGAGGCTACTAGGCTAACCCTAGAGAATAACTACTTAAGTACTACCCTCCTTAGGATACGTATATAATAAAGAACTATAGTAGAATAGATAATATATATAATATAATACTAGGAAGTATAGATACTACTATCCTAGGGGTTATATATATGTAACTTCCTACCTATACTAAGGACGTCCATCTAACTCCCTATATATAGATAACTAGAAGTATTAGCCTACTTCTAATTAAAACTAAACTATAGCTACTTTAGAGCCTACCTAGTATAGTTTAGTAAGATAGACTAGGATAATTATAGCTATAATAATACCGCCTAATAAATACTATAACACCTTATTAGTAACTACCTACTCTATAGCTCTACTAGGAGAGAAGCTATATAGGTAGTACGTAAGGTGTATAATAATAATAGTAGGAAAATAGCCTCTATACCCTATAGAGAGCTATTCTAAGGAGATGTTAGTAGATAATTCATACTTAAATTCATATATTAGATGAAGGTTTCTACTAGGGCATAGTATATGTAAATAGTAGACTAAGGGAAAAAAGAAGAGTAAAAAGAAGAGGAGAGAATCTATTCTAATCTCTACTAGTAGAGTAAATAATAAGCTCCATAATCCCTCTACTTATAGTTCCTATAGGTACTACCCTAGAACCCCTCTAACTAAAGATAATTAAGGAAAGGACCCCTTTATCTATAATCTACCTAATACCCTCTAGGCTTATACCCCTTCTCTACCTTATATAGAGCCTCTACTAAGACCCTAGCCCTCTAGATTAGGAAGGCGTTAATATAGCTTAGATAACTACTCCGTAACTACTCTAGCTAAATCCTTATACTCCTAATAATAATTAGATAACCGTTTAGCAGTAAGGTAAGGGCTTAACGCTATTTATCTATATAGTATACCTAGGCTAGGGCGGTATATAGAGCTCTATTATTAGTAATAATATTAATATATAGTCATCTAATAGCGGTAATAGGGCTAGATTAAATTATAAGTAACATTAATATAGATTAAACCTAGGTTCTTTAGCATTATTTATTTTCTATAATAAGTATTAGCTAACTATACTAGTTAGCTAGAAGATATATACTACTAGTTAAAAACCTTACCTACCTTTTTTACCTTTATAGGTGCTAAGAAAGGTATTATATAACGCTAACTAAAAAATAGTACTATTAGGGATAGTACTAGAATACTATAGTAGAGTATATATATAATCTACCTTACCTACTACCCTATACTATATTTACTTTTCTATATATATCTTCTTCCTATCCCTCTTTCTTTCCTTACTCTTACTTCATGCTACCTATCTACTTAGATAATAGTAGAAAGGCTAGTTCTTAGCCCCCCCTTACCTAAAAAGAGCCTAGATAAACTATCTATCTATAATAACCCTATACTAATATTATACTAAGAATTATACTTTATTATATAAGATTCTTTAGCTAGGTATCCCTACTTACCTTATAAATATATACGGTATTCCCTATAGATAGCTCTATCTTAGATAGCCTATAGCTCTAGTAAGACGTAAAATAATTAATTAATTAATTAATTAATTAATGAATTAATCAATCAATTAATTAATTAATTAATCAATCAATCAATCCCTACCTCTCTAATTAGCAAAACATAAACACTTTTAAGAAAATTTTTCATATCCCGCCCGCTTGGCTTAGTGGTACAGCGTCTCACTCGTAATCACATTGCGATCCTTGGCCGGTAATGAGAAGATGAGAAGATCCTCGGTTCGATTCCGAGAGTGGGCAGGTTGTCACATTGCTTTTGCCCCCTTAGTGTTCAGGATTGTTTTTTTTTTGTTGTTGGGAGGAGGAGGAGGGAATTAATATGGAGAGAGGATAAGGGAGGGCGGCCCGCTACCTTTTTCGTCCATCTCATATCTTAGGGGCTTCGACCTCGTCAGCTTCAATGAGCTAGTGCGTAGATGCTGCCGTGCTTCAATCAAGGAAAGTGGCGGCGGGTTGAGGCGATCTGCAGGGGAGTGAAGTAGTCTGTCTGGTTTTAACGAGATTGAAGCGAGACGTCAAGACGCTTGCTTTTGTGAGCCCCGCAAGCCGGCCGCTGGTTATGCGGCGCGATTAGCGTCTTGCCCGCTGCCCCGGATGGAAGTGGAGTGCTTTGGTTTGAAGGAGCGGAAAGAAAAAAAAAAAAAAAAACTAAGTCTTCTAGATTCCCTCCCTTTCAGGCGATTCATTGTCTAAATTCCAGACACAGCTTTGCTCTTCCGCTTCGGAGGAAGACTTTGCGTCGATTTTGTGCGCCGCTGAATAGGGGATGCTGGTACAACGCGGTGTGCTGTTTTTGTTGGCTGTGTATTCTCGTATCATGGCGATGAAGTGCGTTGTCCAGTTGCTGTTTAGGTGATCGGAACCAGCGAGAGGAGGAGAAGGAAAGAAGGCATTTTCGAGACCACTCGTCACCGCGCTCGTCAGCCTTTCTCTGGGTTAAGGAAAGCAGATTTGGTCGAAGGGTCTCGAAGTCGAAGAGTACACTCGCGCAGGTTGTTTCGCGTCTGCCGGTCGAACCATCGGTGTAAGACCAGGACTGTGAGTCTGTTTGTACCTACGCCCTCATTATGGGTGAAAGCTCCCGCTGACGCGCATGCAGAGGATATACTAGGGCAAACGCATTTTATAGTTAGCTCGGGGGCAGAAGAAGCCATTTTGAGGTTTTGGCTTGCTGCTCCGTCGTCTAAGATGGACAAAGTGCCGCAACTCTATTTCTTCAACTCCAAATATTCTACTACCAATGGAACCGTTGCTGCCAATGGTCTTCCAGCCCCGCAATAGTCATTTGCTGCTGCAGTTACGCCCAGGGCGCAAACAAGTGGACGAAATCCCTCCCGTCCACGTCCACTTTATACGAGTTGTCGCCGGCTCCGGAGTCGTTGCTGCGGCGACCATATGCTCCAGGCATCAGCGTCCCAGCGGAGGGTCAAGGTGCTAGAGTCCATTCGGACCTTGAGCTTTTCTGACTATTCAACATTTGGGTCTCATTTCCGCCCTGATCAATCGTGAAAGGGACACCTGATGAGCGCGACAAGAGATTCGGACAACCCGGACCTACTGTAATCGTGGTTCTGACCGGACTTGTTCAGTAATGGCTTGATGATGCTAAAAACGCACTGCCTGCATGGTACAAGATCCTCCGATACGACCGTTTCCGACGGCCCCTCCTTGCGACTTTCATATGCTTCCGGGCTCCTACGGATACAAGCTGTCCAGGACGCGAGCAGGAAAGTATCAAATCAATCGCCCAGCTCCGTCATTTGCGACTTTTGTGTATTTCCTGGCCTTTCCTGCGCGGAATCCTAGATAGGAGTTGCTCTTCGTCATACGCCGAGGGGCTTTCAACGCGCATGGTTTTTCCAAGGCATCCTTTGCTTCACTGAAAGTCGACAGAAGGTGGGGTCTGTTTACGGAGAGAGGTTGGAATGGAGTACATCGCCATTGCTGAGGCTACGCATGGAAGGGATACGGCAGGGAAATTGTGGAGCTTTTCTTCCTCGGGGGACGCTGGGAGCGGTTTTGACGAAGGACGTTCGTCCTGGAAGGTCAATGTCAGCGACTTCTGAAAAGGGATCGGGCCAAGGGACGAATTGGAGCCATGTGGACTGGAATTCCGGATAGCAAAGCCGATGTACCGGTATGTTGAAGGCGCAAGATGGGTAAGTTTATTGACTGACTCCCTAGAGAGGGAACAGTGGTTGGTCCGTCCAGCTTGAGATTGATCGAGACGGCGGAGGTCGACACAGGCGCTGGATAAACACTCATAGTGTTTTCTCGAGCTGTCGGCACCACACTCGCGCGTGTCGTGCCATGGTCTGCGCCGACGCTGTCGACGCCAACGCTGACCTGGCTAGCCAAAAATCTCGGCCGCGACACAAATCTCACTCCACCATCCTCTTGACAGCCGCCAAAATGCCATCCTTCACGACCACCAAGATGTCTGGCAGTGAGGGAAAGTTTCCACCCGGAGTGTTCCCAATTATCGAGCTCACCCCTGAAATGATGCTGCACATCATCGGAATGGTCGAAGAAGTCGACATCGACGACGTGCGGAACAGCGACAAACGACCGACCGGCCAGAGGACTCTCATTTCGCTGTCCATGACGAGCAAGTTCTTTCGCGAGCGCTTGGCTCCCAGGATCTTCAGGACCATCGTTCTTTTGAAGCGGAGTGAGATTTGCAATCCGGATGTCTCGCAGTTTTACGCTGAAATCGCGCAAAGGAACGCCTTCCACAACTGTGACAAGTTCCTAAAAGGCTTTTCCTACCCACCTGTGTGTTTGTTTAGGAACATGGAGCAAGTTCACCACCTGACTGTTAATGATTAATTTGCTTACTGTCGACTGCGTCACGTCCCTTGCTGTCAACCAGTTTTGGAGGAGTAACAGCTCCCTGCCCGGCTTCCTTACCATTACTCTCGCGGACCTCATGTGTAATGGAAAGAGCCGGCTTCGACGGCTTCACATCGAAGGAGACTCGAATACGGCAATGGCTCTCCATGACAACATGGAACGCAACAGGCGCCAGTTGGTCAATCTGGAAGAGATAACTATCGGCCTCGAGATGTCGTTCCTCCTAAAGTACACCCTGAACGTCAAACCGGTCTCAAAAAAACCATACGGCGGATCACTCAGGCCCCAGAACTATCTATTCCGATTCCGGGATTTCTTCGCGCGCTGTAGAGAACTGCCGAAGCTCAGGACCATGGAGCTGACTGTTGCTGACCTTGAAAGATCCCACGGAATGGCTCAAAGTGAGTTCCTTGCTGCGTTCCCATTCCCAACGCTGACATTTGTCGACAGTCAATGTCCCAGCAATCGGCCTGGAGACTTTCTTCGGTCCTGACCAAAGTGATTGCGAGCTCATCCAGATGGGATTCATCTTGAAGACCATTCGCACTCAGCCTAGTCTTGTCGAGGTCCACATCCCGAAGATCGAAGACATCTGCATCGAAACACTGAACGACCGCAACAATTTGCCTTGCGGCGAGAAATACAGCAATATGCTCCCTGCCAGTTTCATTGCCATCAGGGCGCCCTTGGTCAAGAGAGTCCACGTCGGACGCTTCTCGGTCGTCGAAATTGAGCGGAACAGGGCGGGCAGCATCACTCTCTGGCAGACTCTGACGTTGGCGCCTAGCAAACCACGACCGAGCCAGGATTGGAGGTCCATCTGCTGGCATGACAGGTGGGATGACTGGAAAGAGCCCATCATCAATATGCCGATGCAAAACTGGGCCATCTGGAAGACTAATCTCCCGCTCAAGGTCGTTCATGGCGATGAGGAGGACAGGGCGGCATGGATTGAGGAGGACGCTCAGGGTACGGCGAAGTTTGTCGTGGTGGATGCGGCTTGCACGCGGATTGACCGTATCGACTGAGAAGGTACAGGCCTCTTTTTTGATGAAGTATGCATCACAGGCATGGCATTAAAGCTAACTATTGCCGTCTTCCGAACATAAGCTCGCTCTTTCACCAGTACTACACAGTGCCTCAAGATTTCTTTCTTTTCCTTGTTTAAAATTCCTTCTCTTCTTACTCCAGACAGACATTCGTATCAATGATAAATGTTGGCCGCTGGCATCGGGTATATATAATCCTCAAATGCACTCGCTCTTAACAAGACCTCGTCGAAGTCCACATTCCACGGCCTGAAGACATCTACATTGGAGCATACGAAGACGAAAAACTTGTCGAATGGCTGGAAAGACGGCAGGCTTGAAATGCTTCCAGTCTGACTCTGTCCTGGGTTCCCTCAGTTAGGTTCGCCTATGGGGATGATTTTGGATGCCAGAGAATCGCATGGGCCAGATTCGGTACATCCCTTGAGAAGTCGGTTTTTTTTGGGTCAATGTCGACTTCCCAGAGGTCGAGCAGGACAACTGCAATGAAAGGTCTGATTTTCCTATGTCCAGCCGTGTATTACGTCTTGTAGGTAGAACAATGAATCTTGGTTTGAAAAGCAGTGTGGCTTCTCTTTCAGCCACAAAGGCATCAACATGTCTCCGGTTGTTGCCTCGATTTTCAACGATCAATTGAGGAAAGTCCTATCGATTCAATCCGGCTTCCATTTCTTTTGTCAGCGGTCAATGTGTAGTCGGTAGTCTTATCGACTCGAGCAGGGCGAGTAGTCATTGTTCCCATTGCGGCCATTCATCTTGGCGGAATCGACGCCACCAAAGTCTGCTGGGTCTTTTGTTTTGTAACAAAGCACTACAGATATACAACTTACTATCTCATCATTCTCTGCTGCATTCTCTCCTGCTCATCGGATTCCCAGCTCCCTTCGCAACACCGCGCCTTGCACACCAATCGCCTGGCAGTCGTCGCTCGTCGACCTGACCTGCTTTCAAAATGTGGAACTACCCAGCAGTCGCCCCTCCACGGAGATACTGGGGCCGCCGACCCTCGCGCCCTTACATCTGGATGCTCCCAGATGAGCTTTTGCTCCGCATCGTTGGCTTTGTTGAGGTAACCGACCAGGAACGGGCCGTTGTCGCCGATCTGTTTAATTTATCGCCCTTCAACTCCATTGCATCTCTCTCTTGGACGTGCAGGAAGTTTCAACAAATGTGCAATGAGACAATCTCGCGGACCGTCAGTCTCCTCAAGAAGCCGGTTTGGGAAATTGAGGATGTCGCTGGACATTACGCCCGCATTGCGCAGGGCAATCCTGCCGTCAACGACCCAAGAGTCTTGAACTTTTTCTGGAATCCCCCCGTGCACCGGCTCAAACACAC